GATAATCTGAAACAGAGAATAATTTTTCAGATGAGAAGGGAGGAAACTGGATGTCCTCTTATGGGTCTTGGGAATGCCTCAGCGCACCTGATGAAAGTATTCACAAGTACCAAGAGGAATTTATGTTTCTTTTTGGGGTCAGTGGGGGGGGGTCAGATGAGTGAAGTCTACTTGCCTGCCAGTGCCTGGGAAGAGCCCTCTAGCTTGCTGAAGGGTGGGGCAGGACTGTCCTTATTATCTGGATTGGATCACTGAAAGACCTGGAAAGAGATCGTGAGTTCCTGCAAGAACTGTTCGTTTTGTGGGGTTACTTAGAATTGTGTGTTTAGGAAAGAAAGGAGAGAGGTGTCATCTGGGTGGGAAAGGGAGTGAAGGCAGGAAAGAATATTGGATATGAGAGGAGGTTCTGTGACTGTGCTCTTTGTGGGGCCAGGGTTGGACAGATGTTGGGGACTAGGGCAGCTCTTAGCACTCTCCGTAGCCAGGTGATTAGCCTCATCAGTGTTTTCCATCCTTTTGCTGCCCTGCATAGTGAATAACAGCTTCCCTGGTTCGTAATTAGGCAGCTTCCAACAAATCATGAGTAAGCTGACCATTCATTATGGGGGTTCCCATCTGGGTGAGAAAACTTCTTTTTCTCCATATTAGAATGTTGGAATGCAGAATGTCGTAGGCATATTTTGAGTCCGTATAAAATGTTTACAGACTGTCCATTGGTGAGCCTAAGGACCTGGGTAAGGGCTATAAACTCAGCCTGTTGGAAGGAGGTGTGTGGTGGCAGGGACATGATATTTATGACCTTATAGGATGGGAGCACCCCTCCAGGGTGGCATAGCCCCAGCATATGGTGGTGCCTTTTGTGAGCTCCTGTGAACCAGTCTGGTACCTCCAGGATGTGAATGTCAGTTATGTGACAAAAAGGGTTGAGGGCAAGGTAGAGCATTTCAGAGCAGGAGTGAACCAGAACAGAGGCGTCTATTGGGAAATAGAAGATGAGGGAGACGAGGGTGGCTGGGTTGAGAGTGGAGCAGGTCAGGAAATTGAGGCTGAGGTTGAGAAGCTGTGCATGCAGGAACCATGTTCAGGTGGGGGTAGAATAAGGAGTGCATGATGGCTGAGAAAGTCCTTTAGGGAGTGGGGAGAGAGAATCAGGAGTGGGCTGTGTAAGGTTAGTTTAATTGCCTCCAGAATTAGAAGGGCTACAGCCACCACTGCCCGAAAGCAAGAGACCAGCCCCAGTACACTGAGTTCAGCTCTTTAGAGAGATAAGCAATGCAGTGAAAAGTCTCACCAGCCTCTGGCAAAGGAGGGCCAAAGCCTGTCTCTAGTCAGAACAAAGGAAAAGGAAAAATAGCTTAAGAGGGTTGGGGAGGTAGAGAATGGAGGCCTTGGTTAGGGCTTTGAAGGCTCTTATTGAGGTATCGGGAGAAGAGGAAGCTAGGAGGGATTCATCTAAGGAGCCCTTAGTTGCATCATGCAAGGGTGGGGCATATAGTGAAAAGTTGGGAATCCAACGGAAGAACCCAAAGAGGCCTGAGAGAGAGAGAGAGAGAGAGAGAGAGAGAGAGAGAGAGAGAGATCTCTTTTTATGGAGGGAGAGGGATTTCTAGAAGTTTGGCAATTCTATCAGAGGGAATTATTCATTTATCTTGGGTGACCTGCAGTCCCAGGTAGCATACTTGTGCCTTTTGGTGGATCATGTGATATCTCTAGTCAGTCAAGGGATTTAGTAAAGTGATAGTGTCCTCTATACATGTTTCTTTGGAGGGGCTGCAGAGCAATAGGCTGTCTACATATTGCAGAAGGTGACTGGGTGAAAGGCATAAGGTTGAAAGTCCCTTTTGTAGGGCCAGAGCAAAATAGTGTGGGCTGTCCCTAAACCCTTGGGGTAGGACTGTCCAGATGAGTTGTCAGGAATTTAGCATGTTGGGGTTCTTCCAGGTGAAAGCAAAAGGAGACTGAGAGTTGGGGTGCTGGGGAATAGTAAGAAATGTTTTTAAGGTCCAGAGCAGAGAAGTTGTTGGACTGAGGAGGGATGGTGGATAAGAGGGTGTAGGGGTTGGGGACCACTGGGTGAGTGGGGATAATGGTGGTATTTATTTTCCCAAGTCACTGAGCCTGTATGAGCCATTTTATTTTTTGACTCCCAGGTTGGGGGTTATTATGGAGAGAGTTCATATCGGTGGTGAGGTTAGATTTTAGTAAGGGAGTGATCAGAGGTTGTGGTCCTGTGCAGGTAGCAGAGAAAAGTGTATGCTGGGCCTGGGTGATATAGGAGTGGGGGTCCCTTAAAGAGAACCTGGCAGAATATTGATATTTGAAGTTGTTAGGTTGTCAATATTCCAAACTTGGGGATTGATTTAAGTCCCTAAGAGGGAGTGGTCTTCAGGGAGGGGACAGGAATTGCCAGTCAAGCCAGAGTCTAATGCTAAACAAAAGATAGTTGTTGAATTAAAAGAGGGAGAGGTATAGGGTGACCCAATTTTTTTTAGTAATTCCCATCCTAAGAGGGACATAGGGCATGTCAGTAATTGTCTGAATGTACAGGGTGATAGGTAAATCGAGTCAAAATCAGGAGAAAACACCAGGACACAGACAAGAACTCTGGTGGGATGGAGTTTATTGGAAGGGAAAATGCATGGGACAGTCCCCAGTTTGGGATAGAGGAGCTGACAGTTTACAGGCTGTTAGCTGGGTGTTTTTATAGGGGTTTGGGGAATATGGAAGGCAGGAAAATATTTTAAAACAAGTTAGGCAGGGGAGAGAGCCCAGGGCTTATCAGGAGAGAACAGCCAGAGGGCTTGCAAAACTGTGAGGCCCTGTTGCATTGGGGAGGGGGTTGCTGTAGATCCGAATCCTAACACTGGGGACCCTAGGAGTGAAACTAAGAAAGTGGGGGATATCCAAGACTCCAATTACAGAAGTGTGGGAGGTTGAAGAGGGTCCTGACAAGCATGTGAGGAGGAAAAAGGACACCCTGGTATTGACCAGGAGGGAATATTGGCAGTCGACCACCCTCCTAGTGACCTGGGCTTCCTCTGATAACTCACTTTCCATATGTGGAGCATGTTAATCTGGGCCACCTCATCCTAACAACTAGAGGCTGGGGGGATTGTTGTTGGAGAGAATGGGAGCCACCAAAGTTGGGTCTTGAAGACCCTGGGGGCAGTCTATGAATTCAAATAAGTCTTTGCCCAGTGCCTTGAATTGCCACAGGTTCCAGGAGGAGCACTCCACTGGGAGGATATAGGTCTGATGGCGACTGTCTGAGGTGGTCGTTTCTGGAAGGCCAAGGCCAGGAGTTGGTATTTGGCCTTTAAATGTTTTGTCTTTTCCATTTTTGCCTCATTTTCCAAATTATTAAAAACCTTAAACACTATATTTAAGAGTTCCTGTTGAAACACTGTGTTTAAGAATTCCTGTTGGGAATTCTTAGTCCCTGTTCTGCTGCCTTAATTATTTTCTGATATCAAGAGCTGATTGACTGATAAACTGAACATGAAGAGGGTGCCTGTGGGCATGGAGTGGTCCACGTTGATATATTTAGTCTGGTGGGGGAAAGGAACAAAGGGGAGGAGAAGGGGTATTAGAGAGAGGATCTTGTTCAGAAGATCCTCCCAGGTTTTGACACCAGACTGTTAGGAATAGGAGTTGCAACCTTTCCCTTCCTTTGACTTTCCCTTTCCCTCCCTTCCATTTCTTCTTCCTTTTCCCCTTCCTTTTCCCTCTCTCTTCCCCTTCCTTCCCTTCCCCTTCCTTTCCCTATTCTCTTTCCTTTCCTCTTCCTTTTCTTTCCTTTCCACATCTTATGATGTTCCATGTCCCCAAAGGGTTCCTGCTCTGTGGGCATTAGCTGAATTTATGCTCATGACTGAACCTGGGACAAGCCTCCCCCATACCCCCAATCCATAGTGATCTAATGCGAAGGCTGGGACACATGTGGATTCTTCCAGGCACCTGGTGATAGGTGTACACTTGCTTGGAAGTGTCCACCAACCGCAAGGGTGATCAATGTGAGAGTGATCGTATTGGTGCTAACAACAGCTATGTGGCTGCTGCAGTCCACACCCTCAGACTTTTTCACTCTGTGGGAATTTGTTCATACATCCCAACATGTCCAGCAATTTCAGCCACCTGATATTTGACAAAGGTGCCAAGAACACACAATGAAGGACAGCATCTTCAACAAATGGCACTGGCAAAACTGGATCTCCACCTGTAGAAGAATGAATCTAGATCCTTATCTTTCACCTTGCACAAAAGTCAACTCCAAATGGATCAAAGACATCAACATGAAACTGGAAACCCTAAAACTATTAGAAGAAAATATTGGCAGTAACTCATAAGCTATAGGTATAGGAAAGGATTTTCTGAATCAGAGAGAAGTTGCTCAGGAATTAAGGTCAGCAATCAACAAGTGGGACTCATTAAACAAAAAAGCTTCTATACAGCAAAAGAAACAATCAAAAAAGTGCAGAGAAAACCCACAGAATGGGAAAAACATCTTCACTGGTGACACATCTGACAGAGGTTTAACATCCAGAATATATAAAGAACTCAAAAAACCAAGAAGCAAGAAACCAAATGACCCAATTAAAAGATGGGCTGAAGATCTGAACAGAGTTCTTAAAGGAAGAAATAAAGATTGCTAAGAAACATCTCAAAAAGTGTTCAACATCGTTAGTAATTAGGGAAATGCAAATTAAAACCACCCTAAGGTATCACCTCACCCCAATCAGACTGGCTAGGATCAAGAGAAAAAAAATGATACCAAATGCTGGTGAGGACGCGGAGAAAGAGGAACGCTCATTCACTGCTGGTGGGATTGCAAACTCGTGCAGCCTCCATGGTAAACAGTGTGGAGAGCTCTTTTTTTTTTTTTTTTTTTGAACAAGCAGTAACATTTATTAATCTTAATATCTGAACAATAATCGAAAAAATTTAAAAAATCAATAAAAACAAATAAGGAAAACTTTTTGTTAGAGGTGGGAAATCCACCTCTGCTCTGCAGGTGGTGTTGGGTGGAATGCAGTCGGTGATGCTAAAATTTTCTGACAGTAAATTAACCTCCTCAGGTGGAGGAGAAACGTGGCCTGTTTCTTCCAATTTGATGGCAGGAGGTAGAAACACCTGCTCAGGAGTTGGGGCATCCTCAGCCCCATCTGGAGGTGGCTCTGTGTCGGCTGCTATGGGCTGATCCTCCTCTAGGGCAGCGTCAGGAGATGTGTTGGCTCAGCTACTGATACACTGTGTTCCAGGAGCAGAGGCTCTGCGGCAACCTCTTGCTGTGCCAGCTCCGGCTGCGCTCTGCTGCAGAAGCTGGCCTGGGATCCGGGGTCTCTGGCATCCCTGTTGCAAACTGTGCTAGGAATTCATGAGCTGCCGCCCCGGAAGGTTCCGGATCACAGGCCTTCTCATTTTGGGGTATCACCTCCTTAGACTTCTGTTCCTCCATTTTTGACAGGAGCTCACGGACATAAATGACCAGGAATGAGGAAGGCATGTTGAGATTTATATAGTCCATCAGCTGGTTCAGTCTGGCCAGGTCCAGATTCTGATAAAAATCCTCCGGCCAGCCCTCAATCCACAGTCCTAGAAAGTACATTATGGCGATCTTTTCAAGTTCGTCCTCATCACTGTCAGGTTGGAAGGGTCCATACCTTTTCATTACCAACTCCAGCACCTCCCAAGTGGTGTTGTGCCTTGGGTAGATGTTAAGGAAGGTAGAGACAAACAGACAGTCCCCCTTCTGCACGGGAGTTGATGGGTAGCCCACCACATTCTTCACTTTGCCTCCACTCTGGGGCCTTGACCTGCAGAGCTCATGAAGTATCCAGGCTGCCTCCTCTTCATCCTGAGGAAAGACCAAGAAAGGAAGGTTTAAACTTGGAAACTCTCCCAGACTGTTCAATGATTTATTGCCATACACTAAGGAGAAAAGTGGTAATTTCCTCATTGTTCACTCACTCTCACACACACACAGTGAGGGACGGGGCAGACCAGGGGATCATATTTCGTACTATGAACTGACCAGTGTCACCCATGTGTCCCTGTGGGAAAATGGCCAGAGGTTCTGGGCTCTGGGGTGCATCCAACGTCTCCGGAAGTTTCCAAAACACCTAGTTCTGGGTCTTCTGGGGTCTGAGCCTCCAGAAGGACAGAAACAGCAAGAGAACATCATTCTCAGTCTAATGTCTCCAGACAAGTGAGGCAGTTCAGACTGTCACTGGCCTGTAGTTACCTGGTAACTGGGATTCCAAGTTCTCTTTTGACTGATGTCATAGAAGTGAGGTCACTTCCTGGGGTCCTCTGACCTCTGCCTGTTCCTCACAGAGGACTTTCTCTAAGGCTGCCTGGGCTGCTGACTGCCTCCTTCCCCTTTCCATGTCGACAAAGGGCAGAGTCCTATAAGCATGCCCATGCCACCACACCCACCACACTGATCTGGGAAACATGGCTTCAGCAGCCCCTCCTCTCAGAAAACCAAGCTGGTTTCCAACCCATTCTGCCACACCTGTGTGTCACCACAGACCAGTCACTTTCCTCTCAGGTTCTTCCCAGTCTCCCTCCCTGCTCCATCGAGATCATTCTAATGTGTATTTTCTAGTATGTTGTCAGGTGTATATGACCATAGTGTCTTGTGTTACCTTGGGAGCCCCAGGACCCCTGTTACCTGAGGTGAAGACCAAACAGGCACACATGCCCACACACTGATATGCACATGCTCACAAGGACACAATGGGTCGACTGCTCACAAGAGCCCAGCAATGGTTGTGTGCAAAATCCCTTTGGCTTTAGTTCAGTGTTAGGTCTAGGTTTGTGCTATGGTTGGTTTTGTAGTTAAGGTTGGGGTATCAAATGGAGCAAACCACTCAGTACTGTTCAATTTTTCCTTTCACTTAGTTTAGCAGGCTGGGTCCCTCCTCTCTTTTTCCATGATTTCTAGTATTTTTTTTTCCCATTTTACGGGTGGTTATGAGCCACCATGTGGGTACTGAGACCTGAACCTGGGACCTTTGCAAGAGTAGTAAGCATACCTCATCATCTCTGTAGCCCCAATGTTGGTTGTCGTAAGCCAACTCGTGAGGCATTTTGTTGTGGAAGCAGTATCATATCGCCACAAAACTCAAGTATATTTAGAATCACATGGATTCTCATAGAAGCCTGCCAATGGTATTATTACTGGATAAAGATACTCATCACTAAATTTAAATGACAGTGACCCCATCCTCTGGGTTACTGGGATTATGTGGCTCTTGGCACCCCAAACCCAGGTAGAGACCTCCATGCCTCCTGTACTAGTTTGTTTCTTCATTGCTGTGACAAAATACTCTGACCAATACCAACTTGGGGAGGAAAGGGTTTATTTGGCTTACCTCTCCCAGGTCACAGTTCAGCAGGGAGCCCAAGGTAGGAACTCAGGGCAGGAACCTGGAGGCAGGAGTTGGAGCACAGGCCATGGAGGAATGCTGCTTACTGGCTTGCTCCCCTGGCCCCTGCTCAGCCTGCATTCTTATACAACACAGGACCAACTGCTCAGGGGTGGCACCACCCACAGTGGGCTGGGCCCTCCCACATCACTCAACAATCAAGAAGATGCCCCACAGACATGGCCACAGGCCAGTCCAATAGAGGCAATTCCCCCACCCAACCCAGGTGTGTCAAGTTGACACCAAAGCTATCCACAACCCTCTCTCAAAAAGTTTCAATTGAATACTTTTGTTTGAACATTTCTTTTTTACCTAATATTTGCTTTCATGTAGACAAAAGATTAGTGGAAATAGAGAACAAGGTAACTTCCAAGAATCATGTGGAAAGGCATCACATGATGTATAGTATAATAAATGGCATGAGTTGTTAGTTGTAAAGGTAGAAAGAAATCATCGTTTCAGATGGAGATTCTGTAGGGCTTTTGAAGAATTGCCTCTAAATGACTTTGACTTCACGCATGAGAATGAATGTTTATTGTACACTTAGTGATTAGTTTGAAGTTACCTAAATGTCCAATAGTAATGAAATGTTTGTGTAGATTATGGTATATCTATTCTCCTATATTGTTTGGTCACCTGAAAATGTTTATATTACATAGTAAATGTTACAAGACAGTACAGTATGATCCCAATTCTTTGTTTTTAAAATACACATTAGAAGTAATTGGAAGTAAATATATCAAAAATATTTTATTTCTGGATGAGTAGAATTGGTTTTTGTTGTTGTTTTATATCTTAAACTTCTCAAGTTTTTATTTTATGGTCAAGGTTTTAAAAAGTATCTGAGGTTAACTGTTTTTAAGCTTTTATTATTATGATACCCAAAATGGAGGCGATGTTGTGTCTTGTCCATCCAGGCAGCCTTGTTTGGGACTGAGTTCGACTCCTGTGTTACACCCAGCTGCTGCCTTGTTCTCGTTGTAACAGAGTTTAAAAAGCACTCCCCAGCTTTGAGAGTAACTGCTGAACTGTCCTTTGTTTTGAACAGGTTGTTGGGGTGCCTGTTGGTTCTACCTTACCTTCCACAGTAAAGCAGGCTGTGGCAATCAGTAGTGGCCAAATCCTTGTTGCCAAAGCCAGCTCTTCGGTTGCCAAAGCGTTTGGTCCAAAGCAAGTTGTGACTCAAGGAGTTGCCAAAGCACTTGTGAGTGGAGGTGGAGGGACCATTGTTGCTCAGCCAGTACAGACTTTAACTAAGGCTCAGGTCACCACCACTGGCCCTCAGAAGAGTGGATCCCAGGGCTCAGGTAACTGATCCAAATTGGGGACTGTTTCAATAGCATCTTTATATGGAATTTTAGTGTGGTTTCTTGTTGTTTTTTATTTTGTTTTGTTTTGGTATTGGGTTCTGACTAGAAAAGCCTCGTAGGTTGGTTCTATCAGTTTCTTTTCATAGAATATTTTATGTAGAAATCTGAAAGTAGTTCGCTTTAAGTTTTATTACATAAACTTAGTCCCTGTATGTGTATAAACATAGTGAAAAAGGTATTTCATGATTAAATCCTTCAGGTCTAAAGAGTTACCCATGTTCTCCTGTAACAGCAGCAAGTACTCTTAATCTCTGAGCCATCTGTCCAGTCCCTTTTTGTTTTGAGTTTTGGGAGGGTGGATTATATCTCTGTTTTGATTTCATGTGTGTAAGTGTACCACCTGTACCTGGTACCCAAGGAGGTCAGAAGAGCGTGTCAGATCCCCAGGAATTGGGGTTATCCACATCTTGTGAGCCACTTGGGAACCAAACCTAGGTCCCCCACAAGAATGGCAAGTGCTCTTAACCTCTGAGCCATCTGTCCAGCTCCTTTTTGGAGGTCTTGATGAGGCCAAAGGATTGTTGTAGTAAATTGGACTTGAGAAGAGAGAAACTAACCAATATTCAAAGTAGATATTTCAGAGGTGGTGCAGTGCTAGTGTTCATGTTGTGGTGTTAGGAAGTGTATGGGGGGCTAGAGAGAGGGCTCATCAGTGAAAAGTGCTTGCTGCTCTTCCAGAAGACCCAGGTTCAGTTCCCAGCACCTACATTAGAGGGCTTGCAACCACCTGTAACTCAAGCACCAGGGATCAGTTGCCCTTTGCTGGCATGTGTGGGTATATGCATGTACACACATACACACACACAAATAAGTAATAAAATACATCTTTTTTTTTTTTTTAAGAGTGTTGAGCTGGGTGTAGTGGCATGTGCCTTTAGTCCCAGCACCCAGGAGACAGAGGCAGGTGGATCTCTGTGAGTTCATGGCCAGCCTGGTCTACATAGTGAGTTCCAGGCCAGCTGGGGCTACATTGATGCCCTGTCTCAAAAAAAAAAAAAAAAATGAGTGCATAAGAGCCAGATGTAGTGATTCATACCTTTAATCCAGCACTGAGGCAGAGGATTCACAAGCTTGAAGCCAGCCTGGTCTACATAGTGAGACCTTGTCTCTAAAAAAGGGGGTGGGGTTGGGTTATGAAGATAGATTAGAAAAAATGCTCAGGGCTGGGGAAATGACTTGATGGTAAAACGCTTGCCACGTAAGCCTGAGGACTGAAGTTGGGATCTCCAGAAGCAAGGTGTCTTAGTTTGTTCTTCATTGCTGTGACAAAACACTCTGACCACTACCAACTTGGGGAGGAAAGGGTTTATTTGTC